AAATTTCTATGTTAGCCTTAAATGCTATCTGCACTTAAAACCTCGTGTTGGTAACTACTTACTGACTTTCTTTGCTATCTCACCTTGAAATCAAATCTTACTTTCCTTGATGCATGTATGGCTTTTACAAATCAAAGAGAAAAGACAAAAACGTATTTTTAAATGGGCAAAATCGTGACTAGATTATTTACACTCACAATACACATACACAGTTGAAAGCTTTTAAACTGTTTTCTATCACTAATAAAATGCAAATTAAAGAATGTTGTGTTGATATATTATGATTTATTAAAGATTGCCTGGGGATTCAGAATGCAAAGCTAGCCACAAGCCATAGAGGTCAGACAATGGTGATACACACCTTTAACCCCAGGACTCAGGAGACAGAGGCAGATGGATCTCTCTGTGAGTGCAAGGCCGTCAATATCTACACAAATCTGAATCAGTCTAAAAGAGAATTAGAGCTCACACTTTTAATCCAAGCCCTAGAGAGGTGTATAAAAGACAGGAATCCAGTGTCTCAGGCTGCATTCTGAGATTTGGTCTTCAGCTGAGTTGAGGAGAGGCAGCAGTCTGAGGCTTGGAGGAGAGCTCACAGAGACAGGATCAACCCTTTCAGTCTGAGAAGTAAGAGCTAGTGACCAGGTGCTTTGATTTTCTGATCTTCAGGTGAAGATTGAACCCCAAGTTCAGTCCCTGAGATTTTATTCTTTGTGTTCCAGAATGCGATACCATTTTCCAATGAATTAGTTCACAGTAGATAAAAGCCCATGAAATTTGCTGAGTACATCAACATACACATAGTAGTGATAGAAGCATACGCTAGTACTGTCCTCTGTTAAGTGATGTATCAGGGTTTAAAATGTGTGAACCGTTTGAGCTAGCAAGATGGTTCAGTAGGTAAATGTACTTGTTACCAAGCCTGAAAACCTGAGTTTGCCCCCCCCAAGACCCACATAGAAGGTTACAACTGACTCTTACAGATTGTTTTCTGACCTCCACATATGCACTGTGGCATATATGCTGCCACAAACAAATAAATAGATGTAAAAAAATATGACTCTTTGGTCCAGTAGGCTTCAATTTTAGGAAATAGAGACATTTGCAACTCTGCAAAGAAATCTGGGTTTTTTTTTGTTGTTGTTGTTTGTTTGTTTTTGTAGAAAACTTAGAGATGCACACTAAATATCCAGCAATAGAAGTTATATTAGGAATATATGGCAGATTTCTGCCTGGGTATGCTATATGGCCAATAAAAATAGTGATTTGGGGCCTGGAGATATGGCTCAGTGGTTAAGAGCTCATACCACACTTGCAGAAGATCTGCATTTGATCCCCAATGCCCACATCAGGTGGCTCACACTTGCCTGTAACTCCAGCTTCAAGGGATTCGACCCCTTCTTGTCTCTGTAGACACCAAGACTCATGCACGCATATCCATAAACAGATACACACAAGTGCACATCTTTGAAAATAAAATGGATCTTTAAAAAGATACTGTTCTAATGAAATGAATGATTTAGAAGGAGAGCCAAGAAAACATCTGCACTAAGTGTTAGGGTATTAAGTCACTTGTGCAAAGGAAGAGATAACAGTATCCCTGTTTTGTTAAATAAAGGTGTACTGCCTGGCAAGAAATACATACACATATTGCTTATCTTGGGAGAATGAGAATATGATAGATGGTTTTTATTTTCTTCCTGATGACTTCTATGTTGTCTAATAATTTCTGCTGTGTATGACAGCACAGGCCTAATCTGAGCATTTGGGAAGTAGAGGAAGAAAGATCAAAAGTGTAAGTGATTTCTTTGCAATATGTTGAATTTGAGATAAGCATAGGCCACTTGAGACCCGGCTCCCAAGTGAAAATTTACCAAACACCTACCATGTGCCTACCATTATTTTCAACAGCAGTATAAAGAACCCCAAACAGGAAAAGGAAGAGCATAGACTTTGCAAGCAATGGGCTTGGGAAATTTGGAGTATTTTTGAGCAGGGAGTGCCATGGTTCATGTAATATTTAAAAAATATATTTTAGATTTATTTTATGTGACAAGGGTTTTTCTGCATGCATGTATACTTCCCATGTGTGTGCCTGGTGCCCTCAGAGGTCAGAAGAAGGCACCAGATTCTCTGAAATTGGAGTTAGGAACCACACTGAGCATAGGGAACCAAGCCTCTACAAGAACAGCAAGTGTGGCCGGGCGGTGGTGGCGCATGCCTTTAGTCCCAGCACTGGGGAGGCAGAGGCAGGATCTCTGTGAGTTGGAGACCAGCCTGGTCTACAAGAGCTAGTTCCAGGACAGCCAGGACTATTACACAGAGAAACCCTGTCTCGAAGGAAAAAAAAAAAAAAAAAACAACAGCAAGTGCTCTTAACTGCTGAGCCATCTCTCCAGCCTCACATACAGGAGTTGTAAAAGCTCATTTTATCTACAGCCACTTGACTGATTGAAAGAACAAGAAAGTAGGGGCAGGATATGTCTCCAAGGGTATTGAATTGGCCGGCTGACATCCACATTCCTTGAGAAAAGAAATGCTGGTTGAAGTCAACTGACCTGACTCGATACTCAAAAGCGGGGCACTGGGGTTGGGAGTATAGCTTAGTTGTAAAGCATAGTAGTTGAGTGTGGGGGATAGAGTTGTATGCCACCTTGCCCCATTTATATGGTGCTGGGAATTGAACCTAGGCCTTTGTGTGTGTTAGGCAAGCATTGTACTAACAGAACTACCCCCTGGGCCCCATATTTGGTAATTCTTTCACAGTGAAGTGAATTTTAAAGGTAAGGCTCTCCCCCTACTGCCTGCTATCTTTAGTTGGAGAATTCCTTGGACTTTGGAGCACTTGAAGTTTCATTAGTGCTGAATTTGGAGACAGGAAGAGATGATAAAATATGGCTCTGAGTCTGTCTCAATTTTGAGGCCTGCTACGTAGGAGGCTCCCTGGAGAGAGCATATTGGCTCTTAGAAAAGTCTCTTTGCTTTGCCGAGGGCTGAGAACCAAAGGTGGTAAACGTCCAGCTTGTTGTTTGCTTTAAGCAAAAAAGAAAAGTGGGAAATAGGCAAAGGGAAGCAGAAAGGGATGAAGTGAGTGTAAAACAATGTGCTGTGCATCCCTCATGGAACTCGTCTTTAGGTGAGCAAGGAATAGATCAACCTGACTCAATGATGGCATATGGCAGTCTGTCAAGTGCGCTCTGCTGGAAGTTGGTGTGGACAAAAGTGAGAGGGGAATGAACATGCCAGATGGTAGTCACCAGCAGAAGCTCTTAGAGGATCCACTGACACTGATGGGACCATGGAGACCCCCCTCCCCCAACTAGGTGAGGGGGCTGTCTGACTACATCAATGGCTGAGCAGCTCCTCCACCATCACATCCAATCCATTTTGGTGTGACACCTAGTCTAGCAGCAGGTCAAGTCGGCATAAGAGCTGCCTGCTGGCACAGCCTGGGATGCTGGTACAGGCGGTCTAGCAGCAGGTCCAGTCGGCATAAGAGCTGCCTGCTGGCACAGCCTGGGATGCTGGTACAGGCCTCCTGGCACAAACCATGACCTTTTTTGGTTGCTCTTGGCATCTTGCCGTTTATGGAAAGTTTGGTGCAGTCTCACCCCACAGAATCTCTGCTTATTTCCATAGCCCATCATTCTTGTGAGGCTTGTCTGCCTCCAGCTTGCATTCCCCACCCTTCTCCTGACACCCCACCCTTGGCTGTGACCATTAGAAGTTGGCATATTTCTTCAGTACATGCAGGCCCCTTTCGTCCTTCCCCTTGGTTCCTTGGAAGTCTGCCTGAGTTTGAGACTCTCCTTGCTTGTAAAACCATTAACTATAAGAAACCTTGGCTCTATGCTTTCCAGGGCTGGGAGAGTCTTAGATGACCCCTGTGGAGTCAAGGGAACCAGGGGAAGCCTGGAGACAGCTCCCTTCAAGCTAGATGGAGCCCCAAATGTTTTACTGCATGATGGGCCAATTTGGGGTTCAAAGATAACCTTACAGTGCTGCAATAAGGGCAGCTACTGTTTGGATGTTTTCTACATGTCAGACAGTATGCTATATGCATAAGGAAGGAATATTGTCCTATCTAATCTGCACTTTAAGCTCTAATGCCTGGCTTTCTAATGGGGAGACTGAGAACTTAAGTAACTTGTTAGAGGTTGAACTGCAGAGGTTGGCCTCTGACTCAGACCTGCCTTTTTCAAAATTCAGTAATTTAAAAATTATTTTTACATTTATTCAGTGTGTGTGTGTGTGTGTGTGTGTGTGTGTGTGTGTGTGTGTGTACACTGGTGAACAGCCTGAGGAGCTCACAAGTTTGGAGGTCAGAGGACAACTTATGGGAATTGATGCTCTCCTTCCACCATGTGAGTCCTAGCTATCAAACTAAGGTCGTTAGGCTTGGCAGCAAGCACATTTACCCACTGAGCCATCTTAACTGCCCAAATCTGTGCTCTTAACCTCTCTGCTGTGCCACCTTTGTAGGTCTCCGAAGTGCCCTTGAGAGAAGAAATCACTGACTTCTAAGGGCTTTGGAATATTGAGTGAATGTGTGTACACATATTAAGTTCATTATAGGTATTAGTAAACAGACTTTATCCTCTTGTCACCTCTAAAATACATTGTGTTGTCTCATATGATGGGTGTGGAAGGGAACCGAGTCTCAGAGAGGTTCCCTAGCCTCTAAATGACTGAGTTGAGATTTCACCCAAGTGCCAGCCTGGATAAGCTGCCCACATACTTTGTTCTGTCTAGAACTACAACGCTATTTATTACCAAACCTATTGGATACCTGTATGCAAACATCCATGATTTCGAAGCTGATGGGCTATTTTGCTTTGAAGTGTGTGTGTCGCAGGGTGGCTGATGGAAGAGATGACACATTGGGTCCTTGTGGTTGTTACTTCCTGGCCCAGGATAGAGTGCATATTGATGGAGTATGGAGATCCAAATGGCTTTAAAGCACATTGTCATTTTCTCTCCTCCCTCCCTTTCCAAATTAGGGCGAAGGTTGCCGAACTGTCCCCCTGGCTGGACATGTGGGGTTTGACAGCTTGCCTGACCAGCTGGTGAATAAGTCAGTCAGCCAGGGCTTCTGCTTCAACATCCTGTGCGTGGGTGAGTATCTCCATGGCAGGAAATTCTATTACAGGATATAGATCCTTAATGGCTAGATGTGGCTTTGCAGGTAATTAGGTTAAACAATGTGTCATTCTCATCTAGTTGCAGGCTTGTCCCCTCCTTCTTCTCTTATCCCTTTGTTTATTTTTGTAAGCGTCCAGCTGCAATTACTTTTTTTTAATCTGTCCAGACCAGAATCTGGGGCCATACCTTGGGGGGAAAACAGAGGTTTGTGAGACTCAGTGGAAAATTTTGTTTAAGGGGGCTGGCTGGCTGGCTCGGTCACTACTGTCAGGTTCCCTTTGACTGCAGAGGATGAGAACCAGGACAGAATTGTGAGGGAGGTGGTAGCTGAGGAAATGAAGCTGCCTGCCTTCTAGTTGTGGGTAGTCGGCTGGATCTCTGTGGTTTGTCTCGGTTTGGTACACTTGGACCTTAAGTGTAGGAATCACACAGCTGGGTACAAAGATCTTTTATTCCCCTACCTGTGTCTCTGCCTGGGCTTTATTTTGTTATGTTTTAAGAGAGTCTCATTATGTGGCCTAGGCTGGCATGGAACTCAGCAGGCCTCCCAGGCTAACCTCTAATTCTTGGTCTTCCTACCTTAGCCTCCCAAATGTTGGGGCTATGGTCACACACCACCATACCTACATGGGGAGGCATTGTTTTAGTCCACTTGGTGTGCTAATTATAGCACAAGGAGAGTTCCATAGTATTTCTGCAGTGAGTGAATAAGTTGAGTCCACAGGAGGCACTTGCTATACTTCTCAACAGGTTCTCCCATCAATTGTTCTGGTCCCCAGTCTGCAAAGTGAGACTTGGGAGTAGTATCCTTAGCCACACGGAGAGGATAATTGAGGAGGACAAAGGCTTTACCTGAGGCAACATGGAAAACCTGGCTGGGCCCAAACCAGGGATACAGGCCTGGCTGACCTCTTGTTCCTCCCACTGGTTTAACCACTACCAGCAACGCGCCCCTCCCCCTTGAAAGTACTTTGGAAACTATTGAGTGCTATCAAACAAACATGAGGGACAATAGTACCTTGTCATTCCTTAAGAATGTGTTTTGAAACCTTAAAAATCTCCAATTTACAAACACAGTGGTAACATATAATTTTCACCCCACAGTGCAAGAAAAGTATACCTGAATATTTGCAGTGACCCCCTTCTGAACCTTAATGGTGGCATAAATACCATAATAAAGCCAATTTTCACACTGGCTGGAACACTTACACACTTCTGCTAATTTTCCTTTTCTTATTTTTGTATAGAGCATATGGGGAACTCATTCGCATCATAGATTCAAACTACCACTGAATTATGTACGTTACTGTTTGATGTGTTGAAAATTTCCTTTTCTGCTGGGTGTGGTGGTATAGGAGGCTGAGATAGGAGGACTGTGAATTTGCATCTAACCTCGGATGTATGATGAAACCTTATCTCAAATAAATAAATAAATAAATAAGCAACTAAATAAATAGAATGGCCTTCAATTTTTTTTGGAGTCATTCATTTTCTTAGGACTTTTTCCTTTTCCTCCATCTCCAGTACTCTTTACCAGATCACTTTCTGTAGGGAATTCACTGTACTTGTAAGGACAATCAGAGCAATAAGGTCACTTCTAAATATGGGTGACAGGCAGTCAGCTAGGCTCACTCATCAGCAAAAGTGACTCATTCCCATGTATCAGCTTTGGAGCCCATGAGACAAAAATATGTGCTGCATGGAATTACACATCAGAGGCCTTAGAGTCTGTGTAGAGGTTGCCAAGTCTTTGACTGCTGAAAGTCCAACTCACAGTCATGTTTAGGTGTTAATTAGGACAGGGATAGAAAATAAATGCAAGGCAGGGTAATCAACCTCAAGAACAAATGGCATCACGTCTAATATTGGCACTACCAAATTTCTGTTTAGCTAACAAGATCAATCTTTGGCTAATGGCCAACTTATTTCACACAATATTTGAAGACTGAAATACTCCAGTGCACACACATACCAGATTCCCTTGGCAGTCCTCCCAGAGTGCCTTGTGACCTGTGCTGAAGTTGAGATTAAAGCAAGATGACAAACCCACTGTAAGCAACCTTTCAACCTAGAGCAATAGACTGGACCAGTAAAGCCCTGTGAGTCAGAATGATTCTCTGATGGCAAAGTATGGGGAAATGTGTCATATGAATCTTAAGACCCCTCAGGGTCCCCAGGATGAGGCAGCTAAGATCCAGACAATGGGAGTAGGACAGCCATGCTTCCCCCAGGGTATTAGTCTCTCTAGCCCACACCTGATGACATGAAGTTGCTGATGTGCCTGGGGCAGACTGTCTCAGAGGGGAAGGGAGGGAAGAAAGGATGACCTTTCTTTTCATCCCCAAGGAGTCCTATATCTTTTCTTTCTCCCTCTGCTTATCGAGTTTGAGGAAATGGCTCTCCTCTTACAATGCCCATAAATAGGACCAGTAGATAAACCAACCCCTGTACTGGATCAAAAAATACCTACAATGTGTGCATCCCACTCTCTTGCTGTATTCATAACCTTGCCATGGCTCAGAGAACCCTTAATTTGCATCAAGGTCACAAGTGGCTCTGATCCTGCCTTCTCAGGCCAGCTATAGTGCTGGGACTGTCACTGCCTTGGCAGAGAGTCCACAACGAGGTTACTGAAGGTGACCTCTGCTCCTGCAGGAATTTTAGTGACTGTGTTCTTATGCCTAGTACCTGTTTATGACCATCAAATTTACCTCCTTGGTGAGTATTATAAAATGGTTCTGTTTGGTCATAGAAATTGTTTACCTGAAGTATTTTTAGTGTTGAATTAATGGCAGTGCTTGGCTCGAGAGCTAGGTGGAGAGCTAGGATAGTTTTTTTTCCCCACATTATTGTTTATCTTGATGTTGGACTACTGATCTTATGCCCACACCCAGCAGAGTAAGTATTGTACATTTATGCGTGCCTATGTGCATGTGTGCTTGTTGAGATTGACAGAGGAGGGAAAGAGACTTTTTATGAATCCAGAGCCTAAATTATGGTGCACTATAATTTTCATCCATGATTATTATGATTTTCTGTTAAGCACAAAGATGTAAGCATGTATGACCCCAGTCTGATAGATTTTCTAAGGTTGACAGTAGTTACCAAGTGAGGTGAGATTCCCCCATCCCCACCCCATCAAAAATCATATCCTGATCCCTTACTTTGGAAATTTTGAGTATCCCATGACTGTAAACAGCTGTATAGGAGGCCTCAAAAGAAAAACCTGAACCAGCAATCCCAATGTTCTGAGGCCTGGTGCTTTGTACTTCTGGGAAAGAGCCCCAAAGAGACTTGCCCATCTTAATGTGCTGGCAGCGCTAATGGCCATGAGGAGCACAAGGGTTCACAATGATAATATTTACTTTGAAGCTGCTCAGGATTCCAGGCTCAACTGGGCTCTGTTGAACTTGGAAAACACACTCAGGACAAGCAGGATTGAGGCTTTACTGCGGGACATGTGCAAAGGGCAGCTAGAAGTCTATGAAGGTAGGGGGCTAACGTTTCCATCCCTCTATCTCCGGGAAAGGCAGTTGTTAGCCTTAAGCGGCCACAGTGGTTGTTCACTGGCTAACAAGACACCATAGGAGAAAGCCGTCCACAGTTTGTGGCAGCCACTGAGTTCCATGGTGTCATCACTTCCACCACAGCTGATTTTTTAAGCTATCAATGTCATAGAACACAGGTTTGGGACGAGGTACAGGAAGCTGCAAGTGCTAGCTGAAACACACTAGTCTGCCAGGCCCAGCAAGAACAGGAAAGAGAAGGACAAGGTCACATAGCCAGACATGACCTCGTCCCTCTCCATAGACTCCCATGGCCAACTGTAGTTCCTGGAGTGTTTCCTTTTGGACACCTCCCTGTTGAACTCAGCAGCATTTTCTGTTGGTTTATTCCACCATTCACAGCTGAATGAGACATCTCTCCATGTGAACAGGGGCTGTGGCTATCTCGCTCTTTGCTGTATTTTCTGCCCCCATAAATGTATCTGCCTGTTAGCAAAGGCTTTGTAACTACTTGTTGAGTGACTAAATGAACCAATATGTCATGTTTGTGTGCCTCACTAGAGTGCATTGGTTCAGAGCATGGGCTACAGAAGTAGCCTGCCTTTATGAAAATGCTGGCTCTGCCATTCATTAGTTTGTGACCTCGGGCTGCCATTTCCTCTACAGTGTATAGAGGAGGAAAATTGGATAGAGAGAGGAGGGACTTGCAAATTCACGAAGCTAGTGGGTGGGTAATTTGTTTAACCTAACTAGAAATTAAGGGTAAATTGTATGATCTAGGGGATGACTGGGTTGTAGTTCAGGGGTGGAGTTCTTTTGCTGCTTGTTTTGTTTGTTTGTTTGAGGGTCTCATTTTGTAGCCCAGGCTGACCTGGAACTCACATGCATCTGCCTGTCTCCGCCTCCAGGTGTCATCTTACACAGGCAGGGGTAGAGCTCCTGATTAAGCTGATAGACTTACGTCCCTGGACTCCATTCCCAGCACTAAAAATAAAAACATCATGGTGTCTTGTAGCAATAAGACTTTACTCCAAGCTGCCCAAGCCCTGTTGCCACATGGGTGCTTTCTGCCAGGCTGCCTGAGTTCCGGCCACCACCACATTAAGGTCCCAAGTAACACACAGAGACTTATATTGGCTGCTTGACCAATTGACTAGGATTTCTTATATGCTAGCTCAGTCATAATTATCATAAATCTACATATTTTATAAGACTTATCTCATAGAGGACACCTTCCGCTGGCGCCCTCTCTTGCTGGTAGATCACATGGCGACTCCAGAGCCGAGACTAGGAGAAAGAGAGAAGGGGCAACTTCCTTCTTGCCCTTGCTTATATATGCTATGCCATTTCCTGCCTGGATCACCTACTTCTTTACTACATTTCCCAGAATACTCCTTGAATCCTAGTCCTGTCTAACTTTCTGCCTCATTGGCCAAACAGTGCTTTATTCATTAACCAATAAGATAAACATACACAGAAGGGCATTCCCCATCAGTGTCTACCTCATACATTTGTTCTAGGGAACAAATAAAATCTATGAAAGGTGAGGGTGTGGCTCAGTAGTTGAGAGCTTGCCTTGCAAGTGGAAGGCCCTTCGTTCCACTCTCAGAACTACAAGAAAAGGAAATATGTGTTGATTCACAGCAATCTTGGCACAGAATACATAAATGTTCTACTTACAAGCAAATACTATTGGTGCATGCTTGAAGTCCCAGTACCTGGGAGACTGAGGCAGGAGTCTTATGAGTTCAAGACCTCATCTCAAAACCAAGCCAAACCACCCCCCAAAAAAACCCCACCTGCTATTTCTATTTCAATCCTCCCCTTTTATAAGAAAACGGACTAGAACCCAAACTGGGGACAGGGCTGAAATTCTGTTACATGGCAACATAGTGGTAGCATATTTAGGATTTGTCTTTCTTCCTTCCTTCCTTTCTTTTTGTTTTGTTTTTTGGGACAGGGCTCCATGTAGTCGTGGTTGTACTGGCACTCACTCCGTAGACCTGGCTGGGCTCAAACTCACAGAGATCCTCCTGCCTCTACCTCTGGAATTCTGGGATCAAAGATGTGCACCACCACTACCTGGCAAATTTAAATTATTTAAAAAAGAGATTTACTTATTTTATCTGTATGGATGTTTGCCTGCGTGTGGTGGCTGCAAAGTCCAGAAGACACTTTTAGTTCCTCTGGAACTGGAGTTACAGGCAGCTGTGAACTGCCATGTGCATGCTAGAAACTAAACCCAAGTCTTCCGCAAGAGCAGCTAGTGCTCTTACTCACTGAGCCATCTCTCCAGCCCCTGTTATTTTTTTAAAAAATTATTGTTTCCAGTGCAATGTCAACAATAAGCAAAATGAGAGGTAGGACATGAGTTCAAAGAGGTAAGAAACCCTGCTCTCCATTGTGACACTCTTTGGGAGGGCTGGAGAGAAGGGGAGGGAAATTGAGCCCTTGGGACTCATTGAGTTTCCAGCTGGAAGCCAGTTGCCAAGTTCCTATCTTCTTGCTGAGGCATGGTGGAATCTGCTGACCTGATCCCAGCTAGGTCACGTGTCATATCCCCACATGCTTTTCCTATTGGGCCCAAGGAGGAGATGCACTGTAGTCTCAGGCTGGGTCCCTCTAGCTCCAGGTCCACCATGATGGCAACTGAGAGCAGAAGCACTCGGAAGCCTCTGGAGGAGCTGGCTACATTTTCTGCCTCCTTCTAATGCCTTCATTAATTGCAATTCCTTAGACATGGCAAGTTCTTCTCCTCCAGCCCTTCATTATTTAACATCTAGTTGCCACAGCCCTTGTGTTGCTGGCAGGCATCTGGGTGGTCAGTTTCCTTGCTGTTCCTCCCTGCTGCTTGCCCTACCCTGACCAGCCCCCATTTCTTCAGCTGTGCAAACAGGGTGGGTATCTGGCTCTGTAGATCTGCTCCTGAGACCTTGTAAGTGAGGCTTTCTCCAGGCACTGGCAAGGGTACATAGGAGTCTCCAAGAAATCTTAGGATGTGTAGTCAGTGATCCCATTCTGGAGGGCTGGGGAGACTGGAGCCCAGCACTGTCTAGGAGCAGCAGGGACATCAGTAACGAGCTCAAGGACAAAGAGGGTGAAGTTGCGGATGTACATGGAAAATTCATTAGACGTACAAAAAAATGGTTGAAATGTACCTGAGACATGGGTGTTCATAGAGAAGTTGAGAGTTGGCACATGGTAGCCATCCTTGCATTCCCACCTCAGAGACTCTGGCCCTGTGTACAGGTGAGCCGTGCCATATCCTTTGGTGGGATAATGGGCACTGTGTTCCGCTGCATGCCTGAATCTTTCATCTCCCATGGCAAAGACCTTGCTGCACCAGATTTTCTTAGGACCCGAATACTTTTTTTAGGGGAGGACAAAAAAGGGCCTCTTATTAGACAATCGTTGTCCCTGATGGATATAGCAGACCCTGTCTGGAAACACAATCTGTGTGAGGAACCCTTTCTGTATACCCTGGCAGTCCACCTCATTAGTCATGCCTGGGCCGGCGACCCTGGGAACCAGGCTAAATTAAATGTTCTCTTCTTTCTTTGTACATAGAAAGCTCTCATCATAGGTACATTTTTATAGGTCAATATTTAGGATAGAAGGAGCTTGGCAGATGCAAAGCTACATACACTGAGAGGGAACATGCTTGACTCCCCATCACGCAGCTCTATGCCCTGCCTTGCAGACGTGTACTGTTGGTCTCCAAGGGGAGATTTGCCTGGCCAGGAATTACCCGGAGTAAACCTAACCCCAACCATGAGGATAAGTCAAAGGTCACGCAATCTCTTCTTGGTTGGGAAGGGGTAGGAAGAAGGGGGATGATGCTAGTGAAAAAGCGGTGTGGTCTAAGATGTTCAAAGAATGGTCCAGAGTCATTAACTTGTCTGTCTGTCTGTCTGTCTGTCTGTCTATTTGTTTGTTTGAGACAGCGTCTCTCTACATGACCCCTGCTGTTTTTGAACTTACTGTGTAGGCCAGACTGACCTTGAGCTTAGTTCACCTGTCTGTGCCTCCCAAGTTCTGGGATTAAGGGCCTGTACAAAGAGCAGCCTGGTCTCAAACTCGATATGTAACACATTGATCTTCTCCTTCCTGTCTGGCTCCATCTCCTGAGTGCCAGCACTACAGATATGTGTGCCACCTTGCTCGGGCTTCAGTTATGCTAAACCACACTGTAGTCACTGAGCTATATCTCCAGCTTAGCTACTCACTTTTATTCCTAGTCTTTCTGATTCACTCAGAGTGGGATGAGAAGCCAAATACAATCTGAAGCCATAGAGCTTTTAAGTGGTTTTCGTGTGGTTTTAGTACCTAGCCCAGATGTGGCTTCCGAACAGATTCCTGCCTAACTCCATGTCCCCAGCTTCTCTCCAATGTGTGATTGTGAAGTCTCACTCTCCAAAGATTCCTTGATTCTAGGCAGTGGTTTAATATCCTGTAGTCTCCCACGAATAACCTCCCCAACTGTTACTAGTCCACCATAATCCTTCCCCCATTCATCGCCCAAGTGTGAAATTTTGGTGGTTGGATTTATTACAGGCACACAGCTGACATGTTAGTTAAGCAAACAAATGCCTGGTTTGTTTGAAATTGAAGAAGAAGAATTTGTGGCTTAAGTTCATTCCTCAGTAGATAAAAAATGGTCTCACTGAAAGGTCATCTAGGCTGGGAGAAGCCAAGGTTAGCTCCAGTCTCCCCACTGGGAGACAAAGCTGTGACATCTGTGGAATTGAACACCATTTAGGCTTGGCAGAACCTGAGGCAGGGCATGAGAGGAAGGGGCATTGATTTGACAATTGCCATTTATTTATATACTAAAGAAAAATGAGAACTATGTATAAGTTCAGAGGTAAGCATTAACAAGGATACATTATATTTCTTTGCAGTCTATTTCTAGGGCTAATTATACCCCCCTATTCTGTACATATAGCATTTATTTCTCTGCCTCTAAAAGCAGTATATGCTCAAGGTAAAGCTTCAAATAACAGAAAAAACTATGAAGGTTAAAATGGAAATTAGCTCAATTCTCTGTGATTATGAGCTGTCTGTGCTTTCCTTTTTCATATAATTGATGTTATACATTGTATGTACCTCTGCATGATTTTTTATTTAGTGTTTTAGTATATACACTTCTCCCTTCACATATATGTGAAATACGATGTGTAATGGCTACATAGTCACTGTGTGATATCTTTTGCTTTTTAGGGGAGACAGGTTTGGGCAAGTCCACCCTCATGGATACCCTGTTCAACACCAAGTTCGAGGGGGAGCCAGCCACCCACACACAGCCAGGTGTTCAACTCCGATCTAATACCTATGACCTCCAGGAGAGCAACGTGGGGCTTAAGCTCACGATTGTGAGCACTGTGGGTTTTGGGGACCAGATCAACAAGGAGGACAGGTAAGGAAAGCAGTGGGGTGGGAAGGTGAGTGGAGGAACCACCGAAAGGGGATTACCATGGGAGTCTTGGAGACAGCACAGAATCTGGGGCTGGGTCTGTCTCCCTAGAATGGTGTGGGCAGGCAGCTTGTAAGCATGGCATCATTTCAGGGCTCCTGTCCACAACAACTGTGCCAATCCATATACTCTGCCAAAAGAAGGGCGTGTATCTAATACAGGTGACTGGAACCTTGATTCTGTTCAGCCTTGTGCCAGGCCCTCCTGCGCTTTAACAATCTAAATGGAAATGGCTTAATCTCTGCTCCTGAGCCATTCATGGGAAAGGCCTGTCTTAAGCAAATAATCTCTGTAGAGAGGAGCACGCTGTGTGAAGTACAGAGGACAAAGAGGTAAAGGACAGATTGCAATGCCACCACAAGAACAAGAACAGTCCATTCTATGCAGGGAAGTCAGAGAGGCTTTCCCAGAAACCTCAGGATCTCGACGAAGTCAGCAGGTGGAGGGGAGGACTGTGACGAAGGACCAAGAAAGTCTAAGCAGAGAGGAAGGAGGAGAGTCAGAGGAAGCTGTAAGGGTTCCGGGATGCATGTGAGGGTGAATGAGGCTCTGAGATGAGGGTGTGACAAAGGCTGGGGTAGGGGAGGAGTAGCTTATAGGGCACTCACAGAAAGGGTCACTCAACATTCCTTGAAAAAATATTTGTGTGTATGTGTTCATGTATGCAAGTGCAGGTGCATATACCACAGCGTAGGTTCCATGGGCATGTGTAGAGGACTAGAGGACAACCTCTCAGTTGTTGGTTGTCACTTTCAGCCTTGTTTGGGAGGTTTTGTTTTTGTTTGTTTTTCTGCTTTGTTCTTTGTTTGTTTTGTCTTGTTTTATTTCTCTTCTGTGCATATAACAGACCAGCTGGCCAGAAAGTGAATTCTATCTCGGCCTCTAGTCCCATTGGAAAACCTGTTGGATTACACATGTGTGTTGCTTTCACCAGCTTTACATGGGTTCTGATGATCTAGACTCAGATCCTTGTTCTTGTGGCAAGTGCTTTACCCACGGAGCCTTCTTCCCAGCCTTTTATTTTTTAAGAGTGATTCTCTTTTTAAGCATATGTGCTTGTGTATGTATGTGTGTGGTATGTGCATGTTGGCGCAGACACCTGTAAAGGCCACAAGACGGCACCAGATTCCCAGGAGCTGGAGTTGCAGGCTTTTGAGAGCAGCCCAATGTGGGTGTTGGGAATCAAACTTGGGTTCTTTTTTTTATTTTTGTTTTTTTGAGACAGGGTTTCTCTGTGTAGCTTTGGAGCCTATCCTGGCACTTGCTCTGTAGAACGGGCTGGCCTCGAACCCACAGAGATCCGCCTGCCTCTGCCTCCCGAGTTCTGGGATTAAAGGCATATGCCACCAATGCCCGGCTCAAACTTGGGTTCTTTTGAAGAGGAGTGTAAGCTCTTAACTGCTGAGCCAAAGCCATCGGTGTTTGGATTTTTTGTTTTTTGTTTGTTTTCAAAGTAAGATCTCACTATGTATCTTTGGCTGGCCTGGAGCTCTCTATGTAAATCCAGCTGGCCTCGGACTCACAGAAATCCATCTGCCTCTGTCTACTAGGACTAAAATGTACCAATACACCTAGTTTTCGTTTGTATTTTTGTTTTATTTCGTTTTTTGTTTGTTTGTTTGTTTTGGTTTTTTGAGATAGGGTTTCGCTATGTAATAGTCCTGGCTGTCCTGGCACTCTCTCTGTAGACCAGGCTGGCCTCAAATTCACAGAGATCCACCTGCTTCTGCCTCCTGAGTGCTGGGATTAAAGGTGTGCACCAGCACTGCCTGACTTTGTTGTTGTTATTGTTTTGTTCTATTTTGGTTTTTGTTAGTTTTGTTTGAGATGGGGTCTTGCTGTGTATCCCTCTCTGTCATGGAACTTGCCCTGTAGCCCAGGCTGTCCTCATCTGCAGTAGCTCCTCAGTTAGGGAAGGGTCCTCATGAGCCTTTCTCTGCTCTGTGGTGGAATGTTCTTGACTGCCTTGACTTTGTGCAGATAACTGTAGCTAATTTGGATTTAGGAGTCCAATGGCTATGTTGTATCCATTTCCCAGCATTCTTCTTCATATTCCAGCTCTTACATTCTTCCATCTCTTCTTTGATGTTCCCTGAGTCATTCATTGTTGAGGGCTGGTACAGAAGCCCATGTAGGGCTGAGCACTCACAGCCACTTTAGCTCTCTGACCAATTGTGGGTTTCTGTATTAACCACCGCCCGCTGCAGGAAGATCCTGCCTTAGCAAGCGGGGAGAACAGCACTGGTCTATGGACATAAACATAAATATTTAGAGGGAGATTTGATAATATGTCCATTCAGCAAAGCAGCAACAGTAGGTTCCCCCCTATGGCCTATTTGTATCCCAGCCATAGGCTTTGACCAAGTATACAGTAACAGGCATGCATTCCCCTGGGTGGATCAGCCTAAATCAGAAAGTAGTTAGTTGCCCCCATAACAGTTATGCCATTGCTGAAGTGGAGACATTTTGCCTGGCAGATCAGTACTGTGGGCTCTAGCCATGAGTAAGCTGTCTTTTCTTCCCCAGTGGCCTATGCTGAGCCTCCTAGCACTATGAAAGCTAGCCAGGAGAAATTTTCAGGGCAGTTCCTGATTGATTTCTCTGTGTCCAGTAAACTAATGTGTTATCCTTAGTAATAAAATGTT